AAGTTGGTTTTGCTACCAGTGCTGTACACTGGACTGGTCTTCCCCCCTGCAAAGCGTATCATCCACAGAATCCAGACAGCCATGAGCATCTTCTTCTGGGATCCCGAATGGAGAAGGTGGCAAGCAAGACCCTATACAAAAAGAAATGGACTGGGGGCAGGAGGATGCTAGACACCCACCTGTTCCTGTGGGCACGGTACATGAGCCAGATTTGCAAGCTGGTGACCGGGTCAGACACCAAAACAGCCTGTCTATTAAAGTTTTTTTGCAGGTCGCCTGAGACAGTGGGGGGTGTACGCATCAACCAATGGGAGACCATGAACCATGGAGCAGCCCTGGTTCTACAGGGTCCTGAACAAGCTCCAGAATGAATATGAAGGAAAGCTTGGAGGCTATGGAAAGCCCATAAGGAAGGAAAAGCCCAGCGACTATGTCCAACCACAAAAAGATACAGAGAGCAGTCAGGGTTAGAGACAAACTATCAACCATGGAGACACTTTCCGATGAGGACTGCCAAGCCATCTGGAACCAGATCTTCCACAAGGACGTCTGCAAGGACCACGGGGACTTGAGCTGGTTGATAATGCACCAAGTGCTCCCAGTGAGGGCGTGGAGGTACAAGGAAGGGCCAGGGATTTGACTCAATTGTCCCAGGGAAACCTGCCAGGAAGAAACAGATCACTGACCACCTCCTATGGCACTGTCCGTATGCCACGGATGTGTGGGAAAAGGTAAGCCAGGTCCTTGAAGGCGTGATGAGTCATGTTGATGACAAGGGAGGTAGCACTGTACGGATACTTGACTGAGCAAAAGGGGTCCCAGACAACACACTTCAACCAGTTTGTGTCCTGTGTCAGAAGCGCCCTGTGGCAGTGCAGGAACCTGCTGTTATACAGGCACGCCGAGCTCAAGGAAACAGACCGTATTAAAATCTTTTTGAGCGAACTTCAATTCTACCACCAGAAATCGGTGAGTGAGGATGGAGAGGACATAGCCAACTTCATCTGGAAAAGCGACACCTGGCGCGGGCTGTTCAAAGACCCCTGGGAGGGGAAGTGGACAAAATGAAGAGGACAGACACGCCACTGGACCTGGAGACAGCGAGAAGGACTACAACAGGATCAGCAGCAGCGGAAGTGACAGCAACATCGATTGCAACAAGGACAGTGAATGAACTGAGAATGTAAATCCCAAATTGGGGTTTGGACTAAGGGACTGCATTTGGGTTAGGGTAGGGTAGAGTGTGTGGTGGGGGGGGCACAAGGGAGTGGGGACATTTATTGTGTAACAGGAGCGTGGGATTCTTAATGCGTTTTAAGATATGTGATGGAAAGTAATACAGGATGTATATATATATAACTCTCTCTCTTTAAATATATACGGAGAGAGGGGCAACAGGAGGAGGGATGCTCCCTGGCTCCTATCTGTGGGGGGTAAGAGGGGGCAGGGTGCTGCACAGAGCTCCCCTGGGTGTGGTACCTCCCTCCCCGGCACCACTGTTGGGTCCCATTTTGCTAGGCAAGAGGGAGGGAGCATGGAGCCAAGGGAAGCTGATGCCAGGCAGGCAAGGGACAGAGGTGCAGGTCGGAGTGTGGCCAACGCCACGTATCAATGTGGGTCAGGCAGCCAATGGCACAGATCTTTTGTGGGACCTGAGCTGGGAGACACGGGCAGAGGGAGGGAGGAAGGACTGACATGTTTTGTTTTGGGTTTTTTTGGTTTGGTTGTTTTTTTTATAAAATATCTCTTTCTCTCTCTCTGAAGAGTGGATGTGACTGAACCAGTTCAGGCGGCGAGGCTGTAGGTTATCACAATCAGGAACGATGTGCAGCCAACCCGTGTTTCTGGGTCGGCCCCAGGTTGGTGGGTCAGGGGTTTTGGAGGGTGGGTGTATGGTGTTGGTTGGATAGTGTTTCGGTGGGTCGGCCTGGCATGGGCAGGTGCCCTCTCCTGTGCCAGCCTGGCTGTTAGAGAGGCTCTGTGGGTCAGAGGTAGTGGTGGTGGGTGTGTCATGTGGTGTCTGGGGCAGAGGCCATGCAGGAAGGCCCAGGGAGGACAAGACTGGGGGAGGTGAGGGTGTGGGCAGGTGGGTTGCCCAAGGGGAGAGCCCTGGGGAACTCAGTGCAGGTTAGAGCAGGCGGGCACGTGGCAAGGGTGGGAGCAGCTGGCCGAGCTGGTGCACCATAGGACGGTGTGTCAGGGCCTGGTCTGGTGGCTGATGCTGTGCAGGGTGGCGGCTCCCTGGCAGTAGATGCTGCCCCGGCATGCTGGCCTAGCTGGCATTGGGGGCATGCGTGGCAGGCCAAGGGCACAGGTGCCTTGTTTTTATGGTGTCCCAGTGGTCCTGTCAGTGTAGTGGGCATGGACCACGTCTCGGTCTAGGATGGTGACATCAATCCAGCCTTTTTGGGTGTGTGGTGTTGAAGGCTGAAGATGTGTCTGCAGTGTGAAGCAGGGGTGTATGTCAGAGGGGCAGGGCAGTGCCTGCGGGTTCCTGGTGCGGGCGTCCATCCTCTAGCAGGGGTCTGTGCCTTGTGGGAGGCCAGGGGCGTGCTGTGCTCAGGGCTGTTCCAGGGTAGGGCTGCCCAGTTTGTCTATGCATGTGCTGTGAGGCAGCATGTGGGGCAAGGAGCATCTGTTCCTTGCCCAGGGGTGGGTGGAGGGAGCATTGTCTGGTTTGGTGGCACTTGGCTGTCTCACAGGGTGAGACTGTCTGCTGAGGCTATTTGTACCCAAAAGCTTACAAAGAAGATTTTTTCCAACTGTTTGAGTTGGTCTAATAAAAGATACTAGATTTACCCAAAGAACCTGGTCTGTCTGTATCCTTAGACCAACATGGCTACAACCTATACCCCTGAAACAAAGTAGAGGCAGGCCCTCAGCAGCAGGAGGGGCCCATTAGCAAGCCGCCAGTCCAGCTGGAAGAATAGAAGGCAGGAGGAGCAGGATAGCAAGCAAAGACGTGGGTGGAGAGCAAGGAAGAAGGGTGAGTGGGAAAATGGGGAGCCTAGAGGGGACAGCAGTTATGACCCAGCTGGAAAGAAGCCTGTGAGAGAAGCAGAGTGCAGAGCATGGCCACTGCTGCCTGCACTCCCAGTCTCCAGGACACAGCCAGCATGGGCCAGGCCAGCACACAAGAGCCCCTGAGAGCAGATAAAAGGGCACTCCTGCACTTGCCTGTGAGTTGGGGACAGGCTAGACAGATTTCTTATCAGATGGGGGGGGGGTGCTGCTGATGCTGGTGAAGTTGAACCCTCTGCAGTAAAAGAGCCCAGGAGGGAGCAGGGATTTCAGGAGCTGCACAGAAGCACCACGATCACGCTAGCCCATTGCAGTCCGGCTTCTGTGAAGTCAAGGGATTAGGTGCCATGGGGGGTGGAATTGAATAGGAGCCTGGACTGGGAGGCATCTGGGAGTTGTCTGGGACTTTCCCAAGATACGCATGAAGCTGAGTGTCCGGGGGAGACAAAAGGGCTGGGAGATTGGCACCCCCTGAGCTCAGCGACTCGTGCAGTAGAAGCAACAGAGCAGAAACAGGCTTCTCCTCTCCCAAAGGTTGGAAAGTTTGGGGAGAAGAAACAGGAGTTTGGGCTAAAGATGCTTTGGAAGCAGGCACCTGCTTCCATTAGAAGGGGAGACCCCTCCCTACACCAAACACCCCCCCGCCAGACCGCTGGATGCTATAGTCTCACCTGCTGCTTTTCCTTTGGTCTTTCTCCTCCAAAGGCAACCCTGGTTTTTCACAGTGCATCTGTGGTTTGTTGGGGTAAGAACTGGAGAGGAAGAAACACAGCATTCACTGCTGCCCAGCCCAGCCCAGCTCTGACCAACGCCACTAGTCTCCTCTCCTTTTTGTACCTCCATTGTCAGGAAAGTAATGTCCAAACAGCCTGTTACAAGAAACAAGGAAGGACGTAGTACCAAGCCTATCATGCTTAATGTAGGGGAAAATATTTTGGGGCTATGAGTTCTGTTATAGAAAGCTTGGTGCCAGGTTGCAGAAGCTCTACCTGTGCACCTTTTACTAACCACCTGATCTCTTTACTTTCCAAGACAAATCCTGTGTCCCGGTAAAGACAATTGCCTGCAGAAACGTTACAACAGGAGATCTGTTGAGGCAATGTGAAAAGGCTGTCACTGGGATGAAGGAAAACTGCTTGGATCTGGTATTTCCCTGTGGGCCAAAACAAGCCATACAACGCTGTGGAAACATGGGCAGAAGCAGGTTCACAGTGTTACTTTCCCTTGATTCCCCCAAAGCTTTTAGTGCAGAAATAAGGATGTTTTAACATGTGTTACACAGCCTGTCGTCAGTGCTTGGACAGGCACTAGAGCAGCAACCTGTTCTGCATTTGTAAAATTGTTGAGTGGTGTCAAAGGTAGCTTTGTTACTCATAGAATCATAGACCACAAGGGTTGGAAGGGACCTCAGGTGGTCACATCTAATCCAATGCCCTGTAGGACCAGCTCTCAACTAGATCATCCCAGCCAGGCCTTTTGTCTACCCAGCTCTTAAAAACCTCCAATCACGGACAACCCGTGTCCCCAGAGGCTGGGGGGGCACAGTGAGCTCCCACAGGCTGTGTCACTGTGGGAGTGTGGTGGCAACTGGTGAGCTCCTGCAGGCAGCCATGGCGCTGTCAGTGATGGGGGGGACTGGCGAGCGCCGACCAGTGGTCAGCAACCACCCACAGATGGTGCTGACAGCATCGGCCAGCAGCGATTGTGGACCACCTGCAGATGCCACCGGTGGTATCAGCAATGAGGGGGGTGGCAAGCTGTGACTGCCTGCAGGTGCTGCTGGCAGTGCTGGCAGCACCTTTTTGCAGGCAGTGAACCGCCATGCTCAGGGTGTACATGTGCACTCCCTACATGTTGCCAGTGCCTCCAAGAATGGAGATTCCACCACCTTTCTGGGTAACCTGTTTCACTACCCTCCTAGTGAGAAAGTTTTTCCTAATGTCCAACCTAGTAAAATTAAAAAAAAAAAACTTTTGACGTATTTGCTGTTCAGTTTATTGAAACCAGGGCCCACAGTGAAGGACACATGGATTCCAGCCCAGGCCGCAGCCCTGCTCTGGGCCTGAATCTGCTGCATCTCTATCCCTGCACCCCTCACTCCCCGTGACCTCCTGGCTCTGGAGGGTCCCTGTAGCAGTGTCCGGGCCCTTGGCTCAGCTGGGTATGACCTGGGGCACCAGGGACAGGGTGGGGCCCTGGGCAGCACCCTGCTTTAGGGGTGTGAGCTCTGCTGGCTAGGGCCTGGGCTCTGTGCAGCCCCCAGCAGGGAGACAGTTCAGGTGCCCACACAGACCAGCCTCTGGTGTACCTGGCCAGAATCAGCTCTCCTTACATCCCAGCCTGGGCAGGTGGGGCTGGGCTGCAGGGAGCTCCAGGGAGATGCCTACAGCCTCCTGCCTTGCAGCTGCCAGAGACCCAGCCTGCCTTGGACCCAGGCCTCACAGACAGGGAGAAGGGGCACCTCCAGTCCCCTGAACTTCCCACCCTGTGCTTGGAGGCTGCCTGCTGCAATGCAGGCCTAGGGGGGCTGACCCCTGCCTGGGGCCCCAGGGCAGTGCCTCTGGGGGTCTCTGTCCTGGCCCCAACCTCCTGCCTGCGACCCTGATGCAGAGCCAGGGCAGGGCCCTCAGGCTTCTCCCTGCAGGGGTGAGGGGCAGACAGGCTGGGCATGGGGACTTTAGGGCTCAGCCTCCTCCCAGGGACCCTCTGGGGGCTTATTCCCCATCCCCTGCAGCAGGGGCTGTAGCTGCAGGTTCGGGGAGTATAGCACAACTGCTACATGCTCCAGAGGCCTCCCCAGCTGCCTGCCCTGGGGCTGGGCCCTGCCTGCTGTCTCAGGGACTGCAGCAGTGAGAAGGTGGCACCAGGCTGGGTGATGCCAGGGGCATCAGGGGCCCAGGCAGGCAGTGCGAGGGGAGCATAGGTCCTTAGCAGGGCCTGGCCTGGGCTCACACTGGGGCAGCCTGAGTGTCCACAGCCTCCTTGCTGCAGCCTGGGGCTGTCAGGACAGACAGTGGATGTACTATGAAGTTAGATGATGGGTTTGCCTGGGCTGGTTTGGACAAAGCTGACTCTGGCTCAGGCAGTGGGCTGGACTGGATGCGACTTCTGGAGCTCCCTCTAGGATCCCCTCAGGTGAGACATCAGCCAAACTCACCCATGCCCCAAGCCAGGCCCTAGCAACTGTGATACGTGTCCAATGCTGCCAACCCCCTGAGGCATGGAGGCAGGGGCTCAGAGGGGGGCCCCTTTCCCTTCTGCCTCAGCAACAAAGGGTAGAGACAGCTCCTGGGCTGCAGGAGCTTCTACACAGCTGTTGGGATCCTGGGAGTCCAAGGCAGCAGGGATGCATCAATGAGGAGCTGCAGGCAAAAGCAGTGAGAACGCAGCAACCAGGTTTATGGCTGTGGGGAGAAGCCGGGGGCTCAGTGCACAGAAAAGGGAGGCAATGTTTATTAAAATATCATCTCTGCCCTCGGAAGCAAAAGCTTCTGTTAGAAACACAAAGAGAATGGGACAGAATGGGGAGAGACCGAGGCAGAGACTCCAGCAGGGCATCACTACTGGAGCTCAGAGCAGACCAGGCTTCCTGCAGCCCAGCACCACCCCCTGCCCAGTTGGCCCAGAGTTGGGGGCTAGCATGGAGGGGGCAGCAGGCCCTAGTCAAAGGGGCAGGGCAGGAGCATGGAGGCAGCTGCAGGAGATACAGGTGCTACAGGCCTCAGATGCGGCCTGGCATCAGGACAGACCTGCGACCAGACTGACATCACATGGCTGAGTTAGAGCAGCCAAGTGACCCCTCAACCTGTCCTCCCTACCCTTTGACCTGGAGTCTTACCAGCCCCTGGCTTCTGCCCAGCCTGGGGGCTAGAGCACACGTAAGCCAAGGGACAGGGCTGCCTGCCCTGACCACTTCTTCAAAGCCATGGCTCTACAGGGACCAGGCCCCCATTCCCACCCAGCACACAGGCCATTTCTGAGACAAGCCCCATGTGCCAGGCTGGCACAGCCCTGCCATCTCTGTGTTCTGCAGCGACCCAGCAGGAGGTATCAGTGATGGCCCCCAGGCTGGGCAGAGGGCCTGGTGTCAAGTCCATTGGTGGCAGTGACCTCTGCCAGCAGCCACATGTGATCTTGCACCAGAGCACCTTCCCCTGCAGGGCAGAGCTGCCCCCAATCCCAGCTCAGCTCAGGAATGCGGTGTCCAAACCCCACGGCAGAGGCAGACGACCATGCAAAGCAGGGCACTGGCTGAAGTTCCCCACTCTAGGTGCCTGCCTTCTGGCCCAGGGCTCTGCTCCCCTCCCCAGGGCACCAGCTTGGAGCTCCTTGCCAGTGATCTGCCAGGTGGGGCACAGGTGGAGACCGGGCCCAGCTGATGGGGAACTGAGCACATTTACACCTGCAGTCTCCTCTGCTCTGAAGAGCAGCAGATAAGGGAGAGGGGCTGGGACTTCTGCCTGGGAAGAGAGAAGGGACACAAACATGAGGAACTTGCACATACCTAGGGCCCTCCCCCTCCTGCAGCTGGGGGCTGCTCAGGGCCCACAGACCACTACACGAGACACCACAAGTCGTGGGGGACACAGGACACTGCACGCACACATGATGGCACACACCTGGCACTGATTGCAGCATTAAGCAGCTGGCTGGGAGGCATAGCAGCACTCCCCATGGGTGAGGGGGTGCAGCCTGAATGGGGCTCCCTGGTTAGAGGGTGGGCACTGTGCCACAGATACAGACAGAGATACACACACACACACGCACATGCGCACGGCTGAAGGACAAGTCACCCAATAGCTTGTTACTGAAGGAGAGCAAAAGCAACATAAGACACCCATTAGGAACCGCTTCTCCTTCCTGTGCCCAGCTTGTAGTTTGGCAGTCTGCTCTGCACCCATGGGCCTGTCCCAGCTTGGGGGCATCACTGCTGTGCTCTGATCACCTCACTGCAAAGGCACACAGATACCTCCCTGCAGAGAGCCCCACCTAGCACCCTGCCCTGGGCAGGGACCCCACTGAGCCACAGGGCTTATATTCCAGAGGAGGGGGCTCAGTGTGGCCAGCCCGACTCCAAAGTAAACATCACCCCTCCCCCACCACCCCCAAAAGACAGATGCTACCCACAGAACACAGCACCTGGTTCTCAGCTCCTCCAAGGCATCCCCTGCCCTCCCATCCCCCCACGCTTGACAAGCTCCCCTGCCACAAGGGTTCAGTCACTGGAGAACACGTCAGAGGCTGAACATGGCACCAGCTACACTTGGGACCAGAAGTAGAATGGGGAACCCAGAGCTCACAGCCACCTCCTGTGGGCAAGGGGCTACTCCAGCAGGGATTCACTGTAGTGTTACGCATGGAAGCAAGGAGCAGAGCACAGTCCAGGGCTGAGCTCAGGTTTTGAAGAGGTTGGACCTAGGAGGCCCAGCTGGGCCGTTAAAGGAGACTGTGTAAACGGGCAGGCATTGGTGCATAGTGATGGCCCTACCCAGTCCCTCGACAGGCCCCACGGGCTGGGGGCATTAGGAGTGTCTCTGCTGCTACGTCCCATGTTGCGACTGCGGATGAAGGCCTGATGGTCTGGAACGGCTGGTGGGTGGCCCAGTCACATGATCTTGCAGCACGAGTTCTGCTTGCGAGCCTGGGGCGGGGAGGAAGAGAAGCACAAGATAGGCCCTGGGGAGTTCTTTCTGGGGGAAGAGTTGCCACAGCCTGACCCAGCTAAGCAGAGCCACAGCCTCCTCCTTTGGCCAGCTCTCCAGGCCAGGCAGGGCAGAGAGCACTGGGCAGGCAGCATCCCAGCCCCCGCCCACACCCCGCAGCATGACCGAGTGCCAAGGGCCCAGGGCACTCACCGTCTTGTAGAAGGCTTTTGACTGGGCCCCTAGCACTTCCGATTTGGACACCAGGTCATCCAGCTTCTCTCCACGATCCAGCAGAGACTCCATGGTGTTGTGCTATGGCGGGGGCAATAGAACACACACAGGCCAGGATGAACAGTTAGTAAGACACTGCTGTGCCTGGATCCAGCTAGACTCTGGAGCCTGAGCTGAACTTGGGGGTCAGCTCCAAGGGACTGGGAGACCAGGCCCAGTCTTTCAAGGAGCACCAGGGTGCCTAAGTGCCAGGACAGGGCCAGACATAAGGTCAGCTACCCTTCTGGCAGCCCTCACTCAGAGGTGGTGTCTCACCACCCACGTACCACGCAGGGCAGGGGGATCCATGCTTTTCCTGGCTGCGTTATGCCCGTGGCTACAAGGATCTGCCCCTTCCCCTCCACTGGTCTGCTCCAGCTCATCTGTGCACTCCACCACCTGCAGCACCATGGTAAGTACCTCGGGACAGACCACATCTTCCTAGTCAAGGCTCCCAAGGATCCTTCTGCCTTTGCTCCTGCCACCAACCGTACCTCTCACCCAGTGACACCACCCATGTCCTGCCGGTTTCCCTGCTCCGTACCAGGATGATTTTAGTCTCGTCCAGTTCTGCTTGCACTTTCGTCATAGCATCTGCTTCGCGGGGGTTCTGGAAAGAGGAGAACATGCTATGGTACAAGAACCCTGAGCCCAGCTTGGCCAAGCCCCACTGGCTTCCAGCAATTCTCCACTGCTCCATTGTCTCAGGGGGCAATGGAAACAGAGTGGGTTCTCAGGCAGAGGGGCTGCTTGGGGGCCCTGTCTGCAGACACTGCAGCTAGCCCAGACAGTGATTACACAGGCTTCTCACTCTCTGGAGACAAGACCCGGGACAGGGCTACTGACCCATCTTAGGGACTCTTCTATCCCCTGCAGGACCAAAGAGCCCTACAACTCCTCCCTTGGCCCTCTGCAGTAGGCCATCCCCATATTGAATCTGCAGCCCTAGGCTCAGAGGCTGAATGACTGCTCAGGGTCATGGCATCAGGTGCACAGCAAGGATTGGAAAGCAACTCTCCCAGTGCCCAGACTGCTGCCCTGATTGCTC